TAGGCCATGCATGTTGGTTTTCATTCTAAAATCAGACTATGCAGAGGATTATAGGTCATAAAAAATGTTTTAACCTAAAAGTGATGGCAAATCATGAAAAGGTAAGCCAGTTTTTACTTATAAAAGATCACTTTGGATGAAGATAGCAAATTAAAGAGTGGGGCAAGATTGCCTGTAGGGAAAATAGTTAGCAAAACCTGTTGATGAGTAATAGACTGGATGAGTGTGCTGACATTGGAGACTGAATGCAGTAGGTAGATATGTGGAACTTTTTTTCTGTAGGAATTAAATTCAAGACTTGTTGATGGATTCAGTCCAGGCACGTGAGGGAAATGGTTAGGCTCCAAGGTGACTGCCTGGTTTCTGGTTTATGCAGAAGTGTGCCATTCACTGATGTAACACATATTGGAAGAGACCAGCTTTGGGCTCAGGGTAGCAATACATTTAAGGCACCTTTGAAATTGCAAGTGTAGCTATCACCCGGACAGTAGGATGCAGACTCAGAAGAGAGGTCTATGGCAAATACAATATGCAGGTGATTGATATAGCCGTGGCACCTATAATATAAATATACACCAAAAAACAAACAAACAAAAAACACTGGGGCTCCTGGGTGGCTCAGTCGTTAAGCATCTGCCTTCGGCTCAGGTCATGATCCCGGTGTCCTGGGATCGAGCCCCACATAGGGCTCCCTGCTCCATGGGAGGCCTGCTCCTCCCTCCCCCACTCCCCCTGCTCGTGTTCCCTCTCTCACTGTCTCTCTCTGTCAAATAAATAAACACTAAAAAACAAGTAAATAGGTTTTATTGAAATTCTATTGAAAACATACTGTTTGGCCTTAAAAGGACATTTTGAAAATAGGCTAAGGTGGAAATGGGGTTTTCCTTGCCGTTGTCAGGAAATGAGCGTGTTTAGACAATTTTAGATTGTTGCCTTTCTGTGACCCATCTTTAGTATGCTCTAAGCTTCAGGCTACAATAAGAACAGCATATCACAGATTTAGTGCCTTTGAAACCAGGATATTACGTATTTGTCTAATACTTCTTTTTGGGTTTTAAATCCAACTTGTTGCATGAGATTACTTAAAAATATATGGCTTGGGGCACCTGGGTGGCTCAGTCGTTAGGCGTCTGCCTTCGGCTCAGGTCATGATCCCAGGGTCCTGGGATCGAGCCCCGCATCGGGCTCCCTGCTCAGCTGGAAGCCTGCTTCTCCCTCTCCCGCTCCCCCTGCTTGTGTTCCCTCTCTCGCTGTGTTTCTCTCTGTCAAATAAATAAATAAATAAAAATCTTAAAATATATATATATATATGGCTTATTGTTAGCTTGATGACAAATTTGCAGAAATATATCACACTGAGCATTCAGGCATTTGTATTCGTAGCCTGCACTTTACAATAAATTGGTTATGGGATGCAGGTAGGGGCCTAGGAGGTTATAAATTTGAGGCATGAAAAACAATGAATTTGTGATTCAACCAGGACAGTCAAGGATGAAATTAAATAGATTAGGGAAGTCCATTTCCAAGGTACAAGCATCATCAGCTAACTTGTCTTTCATGTGCTGGACAAATTATCCCTGGGCCATAGAACAACATCACCCAGCCCCCAGATTGCTTTCTAGTCTTCATTTTGATGTCCATTTGGATATTTTGCATACACAATATATCCCTGGCTATTCCATCCAAAATTACTTCCTTTTCAAGACAATTCTGAATATACTTCATTATTGAAAATATTTTTGTGCATTTCAAAACTAATTAATCATGCTTTCATGAATGCATCATTCCAAAATAAACATTTAGCTATTGTGAGCAATGCAATTAATAGGTTATTTTTAGATAACTGACTAATCTCTCTTCATTAACTTTGTGAGTCTAAAAAATTTAAATCACTTTTGGTTTGATCTCAACTAAAGTATTTGTTAGATGTGAGACTATCTTACTGGGGTGGAGGGAATGTGGAGCCTGTTGGAAGAGGAAAGTTTAGGGGAGACTGGGGAAAGTCTTCTAATGCAGACTGAGTGGGAGGAAACACGGCTGAGCCTCTAAGCTGGTGAAGACGTGGTGAGAACAGAGACTTCCGGCAGTTCTCATGGACGATGTTCAAATGGGATGTTGTCGCTGGGTGGACTGTGGTTCAGAAAAAATCAGCACACGTTCTTTTAGGACCATCTCTTAAGAATTGGTTACTAAGGTGGAATGTGATCAGTATGATGGTTACTAATGTTACTAAGATGAATATGATGGAGAGCTGGTCTAAAGGAGTTGTGAGGAAGACACACTCGTCTTTACTGTGGTGTAATTTATCCAATGGAACATCGTGAGCACTGGAGGAACACAGAGAAGAGGCACTGAATCTGGACTAACAACAAGGAAGATTTTCTGGAAGAGGTGATGCCTTGCCAGGTTTTTTAAAAAGAGAAATAGAAGTCAAGCCAGAGGAGGAGGAAGGGCATTTGAGCAGACGAGACACAGCCAACATGAATTGGGTTGGATGTGGCTAGAAAATGGACCGAGGGGTAAGGGGGTTAGTTAGGGCTGGGAGGTGGGGAGTCACACATGGCTTATCTGAATAGAGAAAGCATAGCCATACATTTAATGATACCCAGCTGGTGAAGGAATACTCTTGAAAAATAACTACTCTCTAAAAGACAAAGGGAAGAGATGTTTGGTAACATGAGAACTGCTTCTGGTAAGAACTGGTCAGGTTTCGTTTATTCTCTTCTGCACAAATGGCCTCTGCTTTCTTGCATATCCCCTTTCTACTCCCCACATGCATTGTCTCTTTCTGATTTTAATCATTTATGTTGTCAGTGAACTGATTAAGGAATTGCCTCCACATGGACCACATTGCACTACACCTGTGTGGTTGTTCATGCATCTTTTTCTCACTGGTGTCTAACCTGTTTCACCTGAGACCCTTGAAGAACAGAGCTGTTAATTTTGTATTCCCACGTTCAGCACAGAGTAATTCATCTACAAATTTGCCTGAATGAATGAGTAATGTTCAAATGCATAGCAGAATACAAAACTAGATGAAAAAATATGGGAACATGAAGTAAAAGACAAATTCCGAGTGGGGATGTGAGCAAGTTTTCATGAAATAGGAGAAATCACATTCTACCCAAAGGCACAGAGCTTTGCTGGGCAGAAGAGAGGCAGAAATGAATTCAGGTAACAGAACTTCCCTGAACATAAAAAGTATGTCCCAGCAAGAGTCAGGGGTCTGATATGGCTGAAGGGCATAGTGCTTAATTGTAAATAAACCCTGTTGAGACCTAACATCTTTTGAAACGTTGTCCTAAACCATTTAGGTTTGAAAAGCTTTAAATGGTATCCTAGGAAAGTTTTCTTTACTCCAAAGGAAACAAGTAAGGTTTCATGCAGAGAAGTGCCATTATTCTACCTTTGCTTTGGATGCATGAAAGTAATTCTCATGGGATGAATTGATGAACACAGGGTGATAACAAAGCTTCTGGGAGGTGGTGAGGAAATCATTGCAAGAGTAGGGGTGACAAACAGTGTATACCGGGGGCGGAGGAAGGAGGAGGAGCATAATGAGTATGAGATATTGAAGATCTAAAAATGTTGTGAGTTGAAATTCCTTGAATATTGACAAGGAAGCAAAGAAAAACACTGGAGATCTCTGAGATTTTCAGCTTCATATGAGAGAGCATGTACCTTACAGTATAGAATTGTGCTTGCTGAAGGCTTTATTATTCATGTCCATGTCCATAATAAATAGAATCTGAATGAATGAATGAACAAATGAATGCATGAGTGAATAACCTTGGAATCTTCCAAATAACACACATACTCAGATGGCTTTAAGCAAATCTGGTTTATGCTGCAGGCACAGGAGTATGCCATGGACCTGTAACTGCCTAACACAGCCCCATCAGGCTCATGGAGTACCTCCTCCGAGAGCACTTTAGGTCTCACGAGTATACATGTGACATCTCACGGGCAAAGCCTTCACATGTTAATTATTATGGATATTATAGCTCATTGTACTATTTATATGTTCATTATCATGAGACTCTTGACAAGGTATTAACAGTGTTTGAAATGACAAATTAGTCATCTCTACTGATGGACAGGCACTATCCTTAAGGTTCGTTCAACGGATAATTAATAGACTATTCGTAAGTAATTGGTATTTACCTTTTCACAGGAAACATATAAATGCCCTTTGTAGTATTTTCAAACCAACCCATGATAAAGTTTGGAGATGCTAATGCCACATATTATCAAGTTACTGTGTTAATATTACATTAGGATTGGAAAATCTGTTAGAGGGATTTTATGTATTTCTTTTCCACAAGTCATTATGTAATGTGTCTGTTGTTATATAGTGCTATTTATATCTTTCAATCCACACTAAATATATACATATATTCTTTCTTCCTTTCTTTCTTCCATTTTTCTGATCTGCTTCCATTGATGACTCTATACTTTTGACTCCAGATTGGCAATATGAGGGTAAGATGACAAAAATAAAAATGCCAAACAACCTCATGAACATTGCTTGTCTGTCTTTGTTTTATTCTCTTTAGAACATTATTAAAATTCTATTCACTCCCTTTAATTAGACCCTTTATCACAATTAAAGTCCAATTTTGTTTGTTTCTGTTGTGAAACTTTAATTACAATTTATCCTTGTTAATCATTCCTTTATGTTATTTCTTTGGGTTAAATTACCATCCCATTATCTCTGTCCTGAAGGACTTCTGCTCTCCAGTGGTCTCTGCTGGTGTTTTCTCAGTAAGATTTGAGTAGTTTTGTGGTGTACAAAGTGATTGTGTTATGATGTTATAAGGAATCTATGTAGTTCTCATGAAAATTTTTTAAGCTAAAAAATTATTAAAAATAATGATGCATATTGATTTGATTGTAGGATTTTTCTTTTTTAAATACCAATACATACCTCAATGAATTTCATACCAGGGTGAGTGCCCTATGGTTGTTCCTTCTTACCTTTGGTTGTTTTCTCTCTTTAGATTGCAAACTAGCTAGGGGAGGACCGCCAGCCACCATAGTTGCTATCGATGAAGAGAGTCGGAACGGTGAGTGAGCTTCAAATTTTAAAAATGACTTCTCTGAGAGGGACTTTTCCTTTCAACCCTAGATTTGTTACATGTGGAAGTACTAAATGAAAGCTGCAGCGCAAATCTACAAACAGCACTCCCTTAATTTCTTCCCTGTATGGGTTTAAATTAGGCCATATGCTGGAAATGCTTTACTTGGATAAGATATGAGAAACTTCTCTATGACTAGAAAGGTTGTTCATTCTTGATCATAAAGGAGTATTTTACTCAGGGTCAGTCCAAGAGTGCATCCAGATAGGGCTGGGATTTTTCTTTGCCAATAGGTAGAGTTGACTATCATGTATACAAACACCTGGTCACCTAAGTAAGATACATTGTGTTCCTCCAAAAGAAGTGGACCACAAGGTAAGGCTTCCACCGCCACTTACACTGGCTGAAATCTGGTAAGGTTCAAGCTCCATAGCCCACTAGACATGGCGATTTATGAATGGTTAGTGGGGAAAACGGAAGATTCTTGGGAATAGAGAACCTGACCAAAGGTTGTGAGAGCAGAGGAAGAAGCTTAAGTGTTGGTTCAGGTTGTCTGCCATAATGAACAACTAATACCGAATCCATATTACATTCCTCAGGAAGCACTTTTCCTTATCAAAACCAAAAATAAAAGGAATTGGTGCTTTGTTCTACAATTCTCCCGAGCCTCTTTTGACTTCAATGTGTGAGTGTTTACAGATTTTTCTCCTCTGTTAAGGCTGCAATAAAATGATATCTCTTGAGTCTTGGTTTCTATTTCAAACTACTCTAAGTGTGTGAGTGTGCTCTGAGGCTTGGTTTGTCTACTAATCCCGTAATGGACCTTCAGTTGGGCTTGTTTTGGTTCATGCTTTCTGTCTGTTTGAAAAAGTCTGTCTTCAATACTTATATATACATATATATATGGGACTTATTAGAGAATGATCTTTTTTTCCTGGAATTTAACCCACATATATTTTGAAGCCTTCTCTGACATATGTAATACCTTCATTGTGCCATATTAGAAACATTCCTTTACCCCTTTGAAGAGTTGGTGTAATTTTTTTCTTCTTGCATATCCTTTGGAATCAGCTTAAAATGTCCATAGCATTGCTGGCCTCTGTTTAAACAAAATAAATTATCTATACTAAATTTTAGCAACATTTAAAAAAAATCAGAAAAACTTGGGTGTTCTCTTTATTTTTAAAAAAGCCAGTCTGTATTGAGCATAAAAGCATATAAAGTTGGTGAGTTATTACAATGCTTTTGAATAAATTGGAAGTAAATCTTATGTGTGTCTACAGAAAATGAAAAAAAATATGGAAAATTTTTTCACACATACAGAAAATTATGGTTTATTTATCATTAACTATTTTTCAAATACAAATGTACAATATTTCAAAAACAAATCTACAAGGAAAACAATTTGCCTTTTTAACCAGAGACAAAAAGGAAAAAAAAGTGATAGAAGGCCACTCTCTATTTTAGTTTCTTTAATGTTCACTGATTAACTTGAACATATAAGCTGAGTTGAACTAAAACACTTAGTTTTATTAAATGATTTTGTTTTAACATGGAATTCTATACAGAGCTTATTTTGCCAAATATCCCCAGTAATGATGATATTTTACCTCTTTATTATGACTAGATCCCATTTTTCAAAGGACCAGGAGCTCTGCAGAGATATTGCCATAGAGTGCTGTATCGTGCATGTGATAAACCTTCAATATTTGTGTTGTAGAAAAAGTGACAAGATACAGTGCAGTAACATTGTGTTCTTTAATTGGCATATTTTGTAGAAACTGCCAACTCCTCAGAATCCTGCCAAAGTCATTTGAGTGTCATCACAGGGACTATAAATACTTGTCTAGAGACTAAATGTTTGCAATTTTATTTTACATTAAATTTCTAAAAATATGATCACGTGAACCTCTGCCAGAGATTATAATATAGTGTGCAGTCATCCTTGTCCTGAAAGTCTGAAGGAAGCAATGCATGAAAATGTGCTTCATATTTTTTCTTCAGGCAATCTAGGAAACTTCCAGTAAGACAGTTAATTCTGATACTGCTCTTAAACTCTCTTAAATTCTCTTTTTCTGAATCTTTTAAGTGGTTGAAATAAAATATGTGGGTATTTGATTTTACCAGTGTAATACACATCATTTTTAAAGGTTCTGGGACTTCTTAAAAGAAAAGCAGGGGAGCACCTGGGTGGCTCAGTCAGTTAAGTGTCTGACTTTTGGTTTCAGCTCAGGTCATGATCTCAGAGTCATGAGATGGAGCCCCACATTGGGCTCTGCACTCGGCATGGAGTCTGCTTGAGATTCTCTCCATCACGCTCTCCGTCTGCCCCTCCCCACTGCTCATGCTCTCTTTTTCAAATAAAATAAATAAGTAAAATCTTTAAAAAAAAATAAGGAAGAGCAAATACTTTATTAAGCCAAAATAGTAAGTTTATTTTGTGTCAACTTACCTTTAGTTTACTTTATTGATGTCTACAGGTAAATAAGATCTATTGCTAAATACGTCCTCCACTAAAGTACAGCTTTTAATAGCGCAGATCTAAATATATATATATATATATATATATATATATATATATATATACACTTAATTTTCTTATGTAAGTCATTGAGGTACATTTATACAACGTCCATTATTTGTCACATGCATCTGCATCATTCATAATTTTTAGACTCTGTGGGATGGGAATATTTCCTCTTTGTGAATATGTATGCTAAATTCATTTGCACAAATACATATGTTTGAAAGAATTAAAACTGTAATGGGAGGAGATCCATAAACTTCTTAGTAACTCTGGACTCTGTTAGATTATTCCCCTCTTTGATCATTATTCTCAACAGCATACTAATAATAGATTCTTTATCTCACCACGATCTGAAGCAGGAGTTTATTTTCATCAGAACTATAAGAAAACCAAGCTTAGGAGTTCTAAGGATGCAAAGTCAACACAAAAATAGACATACCCTGGCTCCTGACAACCATCAAAAAGCTCTCAAGCTGGTACATAGAGCATGTTTAGTATGCAGTCACATTTAGAGAGGAGAATGCATACAGAGAAAAGGACCTGGACTTATTTTCTTGTTCGATAAAATGGGAATATCTAAAAATTCCTTCTGGAAAGCTTATGTCCACACAAAAGCCTACACACGGATGTTTATAGCAGCTTTATATCTAATTTCTAAAACTTGGAGTTTTCAGTAAGTGAATGGACAAACTGTGGTATATCCAGATAAATTCAGTGTAAAAAACAAAGAGCTGTCAAACCATGAAAGACATGGAGGAATCCTTTTTTAAAAATTAATTAATTTATATTTTAATTGCAGTATAATTAACATACAATGTTACATTAGTTTCAGGTGGACAATATACTGATTTATCTATTCTTTTTTTTTTTAAGATTTTATTTATTTATTTGAGAGAGAGAGAGAATGAGAGACAGAGAGCACGAGAGGGAAGAGGGCAGAAGGGGAAGCAGACCCCCCGCTGAGCAGGGAGCCCGATGTAGGACTCGATCCCAGGACTCCAGGATCATGACCTGAGCCAAAGGCAGTTGCTTAACCAACTGAGCCACCCAGGCGCCCCCTGATTTATCTATTCTATACATTACTCAGGGTTCATCAAAATAAGTGTGCTCTTAATCCCCATCACCTATTTAACCTGTACCCACCCCCTGCCCCTGCCCTCTGCTAACCACCAGGGTGTTCTCTATAATTAAGAGTGGTTTCTTTGTCTCTTTTTTGTTTCCTAAATTCCACATGAATGAAATAATATGGTATTTGTCTTTCTCTGACTGATTTATTTCACCTAGCATTATACTCTCTAGATCCATCCATGTTATTGCAAATGGCAAGATTTCATTTTTTTATGGCTGAGTAATAGCCCGTTGTATATATATGACACATCTTCTTTATGCATTTATCTATCAATGCACAGGAGTTACTTCCATATTTTGGCTATGGTAAATAATGCTGCAATAAACATAGAGGTGCATTTTCTTTTTGAATTAATGTTTTAGTATTCTTTGGACAGACAATTAGTGAAATTACTGGATCATATGGTATATCTGTTTTTAAATTTTGAGGACTCTCCATATTTTCTACAGCAGCTGAGCCAGTTTGCATCCCCACCAACAGTGTATGAGGGTTCCTTTTTCTCCACATCCTCACTAACACCTGTTGTTTCTTGTGTGGTTTTTTTTTTGGTTTTGGTTTTGGTTTTTTTTAGCCACTCTGACTGGATGTAAGATGATATTTCATTGTGGTTTTGATTTGCATTTGTCTGATGATGAATGACGTTGAGCATCTTTTCATGTGTCTGTGAACCACCTGTATGTCTTCTTTGGGTAAATATCTGTTCATGTCTTCTGCCCATTTTTTAATTGGATTTTTAAATATTTTGGTTGCTAACCCTTTATTGGATAAATCATTTTCACATATCTTTTCCCATTCAGTAGGTTGTCTTTTTGTTTTGTTGTTTCCTTCCCTACGCAGAAGCTTTTCATTTTGATGTATTCCCAATACTTTATTTTTGCTTTTAGTTCCCTTGCCTTAGGAGGCCTATGTTGTTGCCACATCAGATGTCAGAGAAATTATTGCCTGTGTTCTCTCCTAGGATTTTTGTGGTTTCAGGTCTCATATTTAGGTCTTTAATCCATTTTGATTTTATTTTTGGGTATGGTGTAAGAAAGTGGTCTAGTTTAATTTTTTTTGCATGTCGCTGTTTAGTTTTCCCCACACCTTTTGCTGAAGAGACTTTTTCCTATTGCATATCCTTGCCTCCTTGGTTGAAGATTAATTGACCATATAATAGTAGGTTTATTTCTGAGCTCTCTGTTCTGTTCTATTGATCTATGTATGTATTTTTGTGCCTATACCATACTGTTTTGATTACTATAACTTTGTAGTTTGTCTTGAAATCTGGGATTGTAATACCTCTAGTTTTGTTCTTTTTCAGGATTGTTTTGGCTGTTTGGGGTCTTTTGTGGT